GCCGTTCGGTATTTTTGTAAGTGTGGCGAAACCGGCCTCGCCACGTGTCCTTGGAGGGGGCTGCTTGCCCGCCTCTTGCCTTTGGACTATGGACCGGACTTTATGTGAATGTGTTAACCCAGATAGCTATGCCATGGAGCCCATTCGTGTAGTTAAAGACTTTGGCTCCATGGCAATTGAACTGTGTGAATAGGATCTGAGCGCTATTCGGTAGTTTTGTGCGCTCAGATCCCAGCTATCTGGGGATATGTGACATGTCTGTGTTTTATGTATAAAATGTGACTTTGTGTATTTTATAAAATTTTAATGCTTTGTGCTCACCATGTGCATAATGGAGTCTTGTGTCTGTCCTGGGAGATAATTGAATTACTTCTCAATTCAATCTCCAGGATAGAAGACTCTGAAACTGGTTTGGGCCGGAAAGCCATGCTTCATTTAGTCACAAAGGACTTTCCCTTAACTTTTAAACCCCTGGTCTGATTCGTGCCATTTTTTAATATGTTGTTCCCCTGAATGGATTGATTATGAAAATGTATGTTTTATGTTTGTGACATGTATATTTTAGAAGTTATAAATATTGTGTAAAAACTGTATTCCTCTGCCGGTGATAATGAGATTACCCATTGTGTTCAGTAATCATATCACATGCAGAGGGGAGGATTTTGTGTGGGAGTGTCTGGGTGTATTGTACGGATTGATTGGTTGTTTTGTAACGCCCTGTGGGCTGTACTATGTTTGTGGATTGGGAATAAAAGAGACTGTATGTGACAGTACAGAGAGTTCCTGTTTTAACCCTCAAAGTGAAGTGTCGTCTCATTATTGGGGGAAGGATTTATTGTATGCTGTTCCAGTTTGACTGCTAGGAGAGTAAACCTATTCGTATGGTTTCCTATTCAACTGTCTACAGCATTCATATGCTTGGGAGAATTTATTTGTTTCTCCGGTTCGGTGATTGTGGTGTCTGCCAGAGTGCTTGGAGTCCTCAGGAAGCACTAGGAGCATCCTTCAACGGAGGTACCCAGTCGGGGTGCCAGGCGATCCATTACAGTAAGCATTCACCATGCGAATGCTTACCTGCCCTAACAGGCCACCCTGACTGCTAATTATGGCCAATTTACCTCCCTGGTTGATGGGCACTTTATTCAAATCAACCGCACGAACGCTATGGGAACTGTAAGCTCAGCCACCATTTCGGGACTTACACGTGTTAGCGGCCATTTTAACTCCTGAACAGCGGTGTTTGCCGATGAATGTCTGGAACTAAAATCGGACACTCAAACAGGCGAACACCGCTGAGACTTCCATACCTTCGGGAAAACATCACCAAACCTACCGAACGACCGGGCGTTCGGTAGAAAGAATTAACAGCAGATGGGGATTTCAGCGAACCCAGGATGGTATACGGATGGCCGGCCGTTCGGGAGTTTTTACCCACATTCTTAGACCGACTGCAGGGCCAGCATTCATGGAACTGTTTTCGGCTACTGTGCCCGTGCGGTCGGTCAAAACCTCTAAGTCCTATATCTCCCGAACGGCTGAACCGATTGAGCTGATTTTTTCGTATGTTGGTACCTGAAATATAAGCTATTTGGGGATACATCCAAACCTTGGGGAAAAACTGTTCCTTTTTAATTATGTTATGTAGTTATCTGAGGGGAGGGAATTTACCGAATGTATATTGTATGGATTGGTTGTACTGCTAATTATGTGGGTGTCTCCCTTGCATGGGCAGAATCCCATAAAAGCAGAGTGTGTGTCATTAAACCTCAGTTCTTCTTGACCCTTCAAAATGTAGCCTCGTCTCGTTCTTGAAAGGGGAATCTCTGCAGCTTAATCACTTAGCTCTTTTCAGAGCTGCACCTGGCTTCCACTCTTGATCCAGCAGAAGGGAATATGCGACTCCAATTACTACACAGCGACTGCCGGGAAGAAAAGGACGTCCCTAACGGCTGGTACCCTCTCTACACCAGGGTAGCCATTACAATGATCATACATTGCATAAGCCTGCCACAACGCCAATGTACCCCATCTTTGGCAGGTACAACTCTGTCTGCTAAATGAGCTTCTCACTTGGGGAAATCCTTCCATCTCGAGGTCTCTGCAGTACAATGCTTAAATAGGATCCTGAGATGAGGCACCTGTAACAGGGAGGAGTGCAAAACCCATGGAGCTGGCCAGACTCCTAAATATATACATATATGAGAAAATAAGGGTTTGGCTGCACTCACCTACACATGCTAAATTAGGGTGCTGCTGGGGGCCAATAAGTACAGTAAAAATGAAAATCCAGCGCACTCACTTATCGCTTACAGGTGCCTCATCTCAGGATCCTATTTAAGCATTGTACTGCAGAGACCTCGAGATGGAAGGATTTCCCCAAGTGAGAAGCTCATTTAGCAGACAGAGTAGGACCTGCCAAAGATGGGGTACATTGGTGTTGTGGCAGGCTTATGCAATGTATGATCATATACTGTAATTAAACCCCCATTTTATATTTTTTTGCCTAGATTAGGTGTTTTTAATAAAACTGAAAATTGTTCAGCATTAAAATGACTGTTTAGTAGATAAGCGAGTGCGCTGGATTTTCATTTTTAGTTCACAATTAATACACATCGCGGTAAAAGGTGTCATTTCTCATGGAACGTGACAAATAGGAGATTAGAAAAGCCTCAGTCTTTGCCGCGTTCATTTGTACATAAATACATGTTTGAAAGATCAGACGTTTCCTGGAATCTGTGAAAACCAGACTGACTGCATGTTTAGGAGTTCATGGAGGGACAGAGAAGATTTAGTTCAAGTTAATAATTACGGGGTTCAGGAAGTGACAGCTGGTTTAATTTTGTATTTGTTGGGTTTTTCCTGGTAAAATCAAAATGTGCTCTTGTCTGTACGCATCATGTTAATTCTGCTTGTGGTATCACGGAAGATCCAATTTAAATTCTGTGAAAAATGTACGTCTGTCATCAGTGCTCACAGTACTCTAGTGACATACAGAGCTTCATTCCTGGCAGACAGGGCTTTAAAGGGGAAGTGTGCATCTTATCGTCTAATGCCTCCCCACCATCCCTTCCTCCCCTTATTGGCTCAAACCATGCAGATGCACGCTGAGCCAGTAAAACGGTCCAATCAAATGCTTCTCTGTGAGCTGTGACATCAGAAGAGGAACGTGGAAACCAGCGCTGGGTGTTTGTTTGCGCTGGATTCCAGGTGGGATTTTTGTTTTTTTACTGAGGTTTCGAATGCTCATTAATGGGAGAGACCAAACCAAATCTCAACTTTGAGGCTAAAACGGTCAATTTGAAAACTTTTCAAACTCTAGTCTAGTCGCAGCTTGACATTTTAGCCTCAAACCTGCTGTTCAGATTTAGGCCTCGATTTAACATTTTTGGATAAACTTTTCAAATGATTTAATATATTGATATCTTTTTGGGATATTGAATATATATATCTTTTTTTACATTTTTCTCCACAGTTTATAGAAATAATTGTAAACGTTTATGCAATAAAATAATTTAAAAACTAACAATATTCAATTCACTAAGATTGGGTGTTTCCTGACTGACCCCTCCGTTTCCAATTCCCTAAATTATGTTGTTTGCTGGAAAAAAAAAGAAGAAAATGCTATTTTAAGATTTGAAAGTGTCACTCACTAAATATACTTTATTCAGTAACTTGAGAAAGTTTCAGTCGACGTATAATTTTTCTATATAAGAGAAAATGCAGATGACAGCACAGAATTTTCTAGTTAATTATTTACCAGCATCCAAAGTTCACCTGATATAGTCATGCGAGATTTATCTATAAGATTTATTTTGTGGTAGCGGCTCTATGTTATATTTATAAGCAAGCCTCTAAGCTTCCCTCCCCCGCTCCTGTTTATTCATAGTATTACAAAGAATCCCGTGCATTCTTCAAAAAATCATTTGCAATGAGGTGTCGAACTGGCACCATTCAAAGGTAGGTCAACAAGCAGCAGTTCATAATGAACTGAAATCGCTGCTGAATCCCAGTACAGCACACGTGCCTGTCTTAACAGTTCAGTGATGAAACGGTGACGTGCCAGCAATTAAATCTACTTGCCGCTGGCAACAGCACAAAGGGCTTTTAGTTATTTCTCGCGTCCTGAGGGGTTTGAGATCAAATCCTTGCCTTGCGAGTTGAGCATGGGGTGTGATGTTTATTACATGGGCCACAGGTGGATGTTCAGGTAGACTTGGCAGAGTTTGCAGAAGTTGATAAAACAACGGGGACTAATTAGAGCTGCAATGTGCGCGCTCTGGAAGGCGGGCAGGACAATCTCTTCGCTGCAGAGCAAGCTGGCGAGATGGAAGTATAGCAAAGTATAATGTTAATTGCCCCAACTTGTGAACTGTCTGCCTCTCACCAACTTCTGACCTTTTATGTACACATTGGAGACTTCTTGAAGGCTTCATCAAATTTCTATTGTTGAAAGGATTATCGCTTGTTAGACCAACCTGACAAAAGGACAGACATATTCTGAAATAATACAACTTTAAGTGATCTCAAAGGAGCCAATTTAAGAATCATGGGCAAAAGCCGTAACCGCCAACCGCGCTGTTCATTCTTTCTGGTCCGTACAATAACAGCCAGTAAGTTGGATATTTTAATTCACATCTAGCAATGATTCGATATTGATTACTGGAATAGAAATCAGGGGTTGGGTCTTTATACTGAAAATTGTAGGTTAAGTTTGTATAACTAGTGTTCCTGACCTTTAAGGTTTAACCAAGGGCTGACCAAAAGGTAGATCCACAAATGTTGTAGAACTACGACTTCCATGATGCTTTGCATGCCTCTAGTATGCCTTTAGAATGACAAAACATCATGGAAGATGACGTTTTAAAACAGCTGGCAATCTACTGTAACAGAACCCCTGTGATTGCCTGGACCACAGACTATAACATTGTACACCCCTTGGATTTGTTACTTTGTATTCGTTGCCAGTTTGATATTTGAAAACATATGAATGGGAAAAACGAATGACATTGCTACCCCGTTCGTATGAACGAACAATACTTCCGAACGAGAGACCACCCAGCCCAGTCGTGTGCCGCCAATTACACCATTGACTCTGTGCCAAACCACAAAACCGCAAGCATTCTAAGTGGTTCAATGGGTGGCCGTCGATTCGTATGCACGAACACGTGGGGGCGGCCATCTTGTTTTGTCGAACACGTCCAGTGGTGTTTGGTCGGCGAGTGTCTGGAACTATTTTCGGACACTCAACTCCCGAACACCGCTGAGACTTCCATGACCACTTAGCTTTGCCCAGATTCATATGAACGAGGCGGCGTTCGGTAAAAGTATTACACGAACAAAGCAGAACATGATCAACAAAAGCACAAATCTTAAAAAGCATGACTGTTCGGTATTTTTATTGTATGAAAGGAGACCGGCTGCTAAACACATGGAACTATCCTGGGCAGGAGCCTCGTGTGCGGCCAGGCAGGGAAAAGACATTCGGCTATCTCCCGAACCCCTGAACGGATTTGTGTGATTTTTGAGTATGTGTATCCACCAATTATGCTTGTTACAAAAATGTATTTTTATTAAAATTGACTGTATAGTTTTGATGTTACAAAAATGGAGTAAAAAGTATATTTTTCACTTGGAGATAATTGAGCTGATACAACAATTAACTCAATTATCTCCCAAGCAGAGGGGAGGAATGTACAGTAATAAATATAAAAAACGGTGTATGAGATAAAGTGCTTAAATAGTGCAGGCTAGCCACTCCAAGTAAGGGATCACTCCCAATTCCCCAAAGTTATACAAATGCACAAAAAGTATAGTTCAAGAGCATATACCAGATGGGGGCGCCAAAATCACAGAACGTGTGTATAGTTACCATGCGTATTCAATGGAGAACATATAAAAGATAAAAGGTAAAAACATATATGGTGAAGTATTTAATGGCACAGTTAGATGATTAAAGATGATGGCACAAAAAGACTTATATCTAATTGTGCAAAAATGCTTGTCAATCCCTCCTGGGTTAAGGACCCTTTAAATGCAGATCCAATATCGATGCCTTCATTTGTTAAGTATTCTCCTTTTCAATTTGTATCGGAGGATGAAACCGGGCAAGGATAAATGGATGAATGTAGAATCTCTGGGGTGACACTGGCAAGCTCTTGTGGCGCCCCATCTGGTATATATTCTTGAACCATACTTTTTGTGCTAATGTACAGTAATGAATGAGTGTGTTTAAACTGTATAACTGTAACTTATTGGCTGTAATGTTTTTGTCTTCAGTGCCCAACAAGGTCCACGTGGATGGTAACCTTGTGGGAAAATGTGTAAAAGAAATGCTTGTGTGGTCATTAAAAGAGTTCTGCTTAAGGCTCAATTCATAGCCTTGTCTCGATAGGGGGTCCCTATCGTGCCATATGTCCTGGAACTGCGGGACTGCATGGCCCAGGGCAGACAGAAACTGTGGTACGATCGGGGCGCCCGTCAAAGTTCATTGCAGGTGGGACAGAAGGTCCTGGTGCTTATGCCAGTAAAGGGGAATAAGCTCCAGGCCACCTGGCAGGGCCCTTACAAGGTGGTAGCGCAAATCTGCGACACCACCTATGTGATTGCCAGCGGCGAAGACGAAAGGATTTGAAAATCTTTTCATGTCAACCTCCTGAAAGAGAAAACTACAGAAGACCCTGACAGCTTACCTATCCCAGACCTACTAGCCCGCCCTGCCCCAGGCAGCCTTATTAGTACTGTACAGCTAGGGGAACACCTAAGCCCCGCAGAGAAGGGCCAACTTAGACAGTTACTCGTAGAGAAGGAGTTAAGCTTCTCCCAGGAACCAGGGTACACCACGCTAGCCACGCGCCACGTAAAAAAAACCTCTGGACAAGCGCCCCTCAGACAACCCCCCTACCGAATCCTCGAGGCAGTTAAAGAGGGGATGAGAAAAGAAATTCAGAAGATGCTCAAGCTAGGCATTATAGTTCCTGGGCTTCCCCCATAGTTCTAGTCCCCAAAAAGGATGGGACCACACGGCTCTGCATAGATTATAGACGCCTTAATGATCGGACCGTGACAGACGCTTATCTGATGCCCCGAGTGGATGAGCTATTAGATCGTATTGCCAGGGAACGTTATCTGACCACCATAGACATGTGCAAGAGTTACTGGCAGATTCCCCTGGCCAAGGAGGCTATCCCCAAGTAGTCATCATAGGTGTGCGCACGGGGTGTGCCGTGTGTGCCTGGGCACACCCTAATCCCTGCGGCACGCCTATGGAGTGAGACCGGTAGGGGATCTCCCCTGTCGGCTCAAGCAGAGCCGGCGCTATCCGAGCAGGGAGGGAGGCAGGAGAGGACCCGGTGAGCTCTTGCCAGCAGCTCTGCCAGGTTCCTCTCGCGAGATCTGAGCGTTGCCGCTGTTACAATAGTCATATTTGTGCACAATCTCCAGTTTTGTCACAGGGCACAAATAGTGTTTTCAAATGCCATACATCCCAGGGCCATAGTCAGAAGGTAGGAGGCGAGCAAGCAGCCCCCTCCAAGAACACATGGCGAGGTCTGTTCCTCCACAGGCTACTAAACTGGTTAATGGATTACAGGATAAAACTTACAAGGAAAGGTTAAAGGATCTTAACATGTATAGCTTGGAGGAAAGATGAGACAGGGGGGATATGATAGAAACATTTAAATACATAAAGGGAATCAACACAGTAAAGGAGGAGACTATATTTAAAAGAAGAAAAACTACCACAAAAAAAGGACATAGTCTTAATTAGAGGGGCAAAGGTTTATGTAACGGATACCTTCCGCTGATGGATGCTCCTAGTGCTATCCGAGGACTCCAAGCACTCTGCCCAACACCATAACCACTGCAGACCCCACGAACCACCTCAGCTTGGTTGGGGTCTCGCTGTCTCCACCCACTCTGGACCCAAGACCAGGATCCAGCTTCCAGTAGGTCGACCTCTCCGAAATCCAGAGAGCGGGAACAGGAACAAGCTCTTAGCAGAGCTTAGTGATTATACCCTGGGGAATATAGTGATTATAGCAATCCCCAGAGTGTAGTTTCTCCAATGCCCCAAACCTGAGCATAAACTTCATGAAGGTACAAGATGATCTGACTCCAATGAGCGTTTATTACTCCTTATATACAAGTTTTCAGGCCAGAGGCACACCCCCTGGACCTGGTGGTAAACTGTGACAAAAGGAACACAAACCAATGGGAACACTAATTAACATAATAAAACTCCCACATACACAATGACATCCCTCCTCTCCATCCTGGAGATAATTGGCTTAAGGCACTGCAGTAAACTCAATTATCTCCAGGTACAGAAAATATCTACATTTTACACTAACAGCAAAAATACGTAAAAGTACATAAAAATACATAATTCTTATTATATTACACAGAACCCCCACATTTAACCTATCCCCAGATAGCTCGGATCTGAGCTATCTAGGTGAAAAGCGCTCAGATCCCATGAACAGAGTAAATTTGCCATGGGGCAAAGCATAGCAAGGGCTGTTGAGAAACAAAGGAGGGACAAAATCAGTCAGTTCCAACTGGTTTATCAGTGTGCCTGGCACAACACCCTGCTGGAGAACAATAGACAGGAAACGGGGGAGGGGAAGAGACACACCTTCCCCTGGATTTAAATGGGCAGAAACAGTCTTTAGAAGCCAATAAGCCCCAAATAGTCTTTATAAATGGCACTACACCCCAGGGCCATAGTCATGAGGAAGGAGGCTGGCAATCAGGCTCCCCCAACAGCCGGGGGCAAAGGGCAGCTTGTCACCTAACAATCCAGTGACAAAAGGCATTTCGTCACAGTTTAAAAATAAAATCAGGTAGAATTACTTTACTGAGAGGGTGTTGAATGCATGGAATAGCCTTCCAGCTCGGGTGGTAGAGGTTAACACAGTGAGAAGGTTTAAGCATGCTTGGGATTGGCATAAGGCTATTCTAGCTATAAGATAAGGCCAGGGACTAATCAAAGTATTTAAAAAATTGGGCAGACTAGATGTGTTGAATGTTTCTTATCTGCTGTCACATTCTATGTTTTTATCCCCAACATTCTCCGGGAATTAGACTCATTAAAACATGTTCGTACTCAGTTTGCATTTCAATAGTACTGGGGCAGGATTAAATATTTGGCAATCTGGATCCCTCGAGACCTGCAACTTCCAGCTGATTCTTGATAAGTTCATAACAGACATGAAAAAGTGGACCTTGCCTCATATCTCCTGGATAGGTCTCATTAATTGCATTAAGATGAACTTGCTACCCATGTCTTTGACACATGATTGACAGTACTGTGACTCTATGGGATTCCCACCCTTTGTCCTTCACGTATGAACGAGCTCTGCTTTTGATCGGGTAGCATAAATTAACCGTGCCGGATAGCCGTCTCAGCATTATTATTAACCAAGACAACACCCAAATCATCAAGTTTACCTACAGCAGAAACACTAATCATCATACATAACATACACAGGTATCTTTCGATGATGTAATTGTGTTCATTATTTCTTATTTATACCAGCTTTTGGGAGCCCCCATTAGGGTTGCTTTTCCATTTATTGTTCTTTGGTATTTTTTGATCTGTTTTATTTTAACATTGGCCATTCGAATAACGAAAAATCTACCGAATGACCACCAGCCAGACCTGGAGCATGGCGCTTGTTAACCTCACCGACCTTATTAACACCTCTAAAAACCACAAACTCCCTAACATTCTAATTGATCGTCTGGGTGGTCGGCATTCGTATGCACGAACACATGACGACGGGCATCTTGGGATACGAATGCAGCCAGCGGTGTTTTGTCGTTGAGTGCATGGAACTAAAATCGGACACTTGATGGCACGAACACCGCTGCGACTTCCACTCCTCGTTCTGTTTGACGGAGTAATTGCACGAATGGAGCGCCGTTTGGTAGATATAATCTACCGAGCCAACTACACTCAATGCCTCTGGGTACGAACAGCTACGTTCGACTTTTTGTAATAGACTTTGACTTTGTGAAAGAGACCGTCTGCACAGCCTAATCCTCTGGAACTATTTTGGGCATGAGACCATGCATGCGGTTGGTCAAAACGAGACTTCCACCTAACTCTTGAACCCCTGAAACGATCTGGGTGATTTTTCAGTATGTTGTTCCCCCAGATTGGGGCTATCAGGGGATATATTTGTTTTAAGAGGTTCCCATATTTTTTTGGCGTGTTTTCAAAAATGGGTAAAAACTTGTATTTTTTGTTTGGAGATAATTGAGTTGATACTGTAATTAACTCAATTATCTCACAAACAGAGGGGAGGGATTGTGTACAGTATATGGGAGTGTCTGAATGTTAAAGTCTGTTTTTATTGGTTTGTTGATTTTATGACCTGTGCCCCACAAGGTCCACCTGGGCAGTAACCTTTTGGGGAAACTTGTATAAAAGACCAGTATGCTACATTAA